TTTTCGTTGATTATTTAATGAAATAAAATATTCTTTTCACCACTTTTTTTGTAGAACTTTTGATGTAGTTTTCAAATATGAAAGTTTTACTTTTTATATCTATACCAATTTGTAAATAAAATCATTTTTAAGGAAGATGAGAATTTGCACGTAAAAAAGAAAAAAGGGAGTGTTTTGAAAAACATAGTGAGTACAAAACAAGAGGTGAAAATAAACAAAAGTTTACACGGGAGGAGTTGAAAATGCCGGAAGTTAAAGTTTTTCTACATGTGGCCCTCGGTTTATACTCCAATTTTAAATTTCAAATTGAAATTGGCATTAGATACCTAGCAAAAATTAGATTTGAAGAAATTGCATTTGAAAGTTTTGTCATCTTACGTGTCTTATTTAAGTTTGAAGTGTTAGTAAATATCTATTTCCACATTGGGCATTGGCATCTTGGGATTTTTTAATGTGATTTTATATAAATATCAATGCAAAAAAATTGCAAATCATAGATGTTTATGTAAATGTCTTTCAAAGGAAATTAAACATTGGTGAGTGTAAAATTTTCCAAAAATTCAATTTTTACAAAAAGGAAATAAAATAATAATTTAAATCTAGGATATTTAAGAGATATATTCACAACTTAAGTTCAAAACAGTAGTCAATGTAAGACACAAAAGCTAGGTAATGTGCACAATGTAAAACAGTAGTTTGAAGAAATCAAACATGTGGCATTGCAGCACTCAAACATGTGGCGTTGCAGCAAACAAACATGTTTGCACTTAGCGATTACGACTTGCCTATATCATTATCTTTTGATCCCCCTCGTCAATTGTGAGGAGGCACTACAAATTCATTAGTTGAATCCTAATATACTCTTTAATTCTTCTGACCTAGTAGATCTTGTGTTGCATGATGAGTTCTCTCAGCTCCTCATCTATATCATAGCTCAAACTTTGCAAAACACAACTGCGATATATCATTTCGTTGTCTTTGGCATCATGTAGTTGCTTCTTTTTCTCCCTTCTGATAGTATTGAGAATTTGATATTTCTCATACTTTATTGATTTTCAGATAATGTTGACAGCCTAGAGAAATATCAATACTACTAGAAGGGAAAAAAACAATTTGGTGGTCTGAAGAGGCAGTTGGCTCATTTAGAATGAGGCATTTCTGAAATATAGAAAGAAAATGACATTTTGAAAATTTTGAAAGAACTAGTTGAAATAAACGCTAAAGGGATTGAAATGATATATTGCAATTGAGTTTTAAAAGTCTAAGCTGTGATATAGATGAGAAGCTAAGGGAGCTTGTCTTGCAACACAAGATTGCCAAGTCAAAAGAATTGAAGAACTAATTAGGATCCAACAAATGAATTTGGAATGCTCTCCCATAATTGATCAGGGGGAGCAGGAGATAATGATATATGCAAGTCGCAATCCCTTCATCGTCACGTGTTTGAGTGTTGCACTGCCGCCTGTTTGAGTGTTGCAATGCCACATGTTTGAATTGTCTAACCTACTTCTTTACATCTTGCACACTACTTATCATTTTGTTTTAAATTTACTGCTGTTTTGAACTTAAGTTGAGAATATATCTCTTAAATTTCCTTGCTTTTAAATTTTTATATCATCTCTTTTTCATTAAAATTGAATTTTTTGGAAAATTATACATACACCGATGTTTAATGCCTTCGAAAATTATTTATCCTTTTCATTAAAATTGAATTTTTTGAAAAACTTTACACTCACCGTGGTTTAATGTCTTTGAAAGACACTTATACTAACATCTATGATTTGTGGATTTTTTTACACTAATAGTTATATAAAATCACATTATAAAATCTAAAAATGTCAATGCCCCATTGCATATAGAACATTTACTAACACCGCAAAGTTAAATACGACACTTAAGATGACAAAACTTATTTTCAAACTCACTTTCTTCAATTCTTTTTTATGTTGGCTATATAACACCAATTTCAATTTGAACTTTAACTTCCAACATTTTCAACTCTTCCATCTAAAAAATGGAGTACAAAGCACGGGATGGAGTATAAAAATGAGATATTTTATTTTATCAAATACTCTGAAATGAATAAAAGCACCCAAATAAACAACAATTCCTGTGATTTTTGAAGAGTGAAGTGTGAACATCTTTTTGGGACAGAGGAAATAACTTTTATGTATCTTTTTTAATATGTGTGATTTAGATCAAGTGGAGTGATAAATATGATGGAAGAAAATAAAATAGAAACACACAATCAGCATGATTGTCGTGTCTACGTAGGGGCTGGTATTTCAGGTTTGGTTTGGCTTTTCATTGCGGTTCTGTTTGATTATCGAGGATCTTATTACAAAATAGAAACCAACTTTATTTGATACAGTTCAGTTTTGGTTTGGGTTAATTAGGTTTTTTTAAGTTGCTTTTATGGTGTTCCATAGGTTCGGTCCAGATTTAGATGGTTTAAGTTCAGTTTAACGCATTATGAGAACAAAGTTAAGAAATCAAAAGCAAATAACATGTGTTTTGGATTCATTCAATTTCACCTAATGATCACCAAACTACCAGATTCAGCTATCCGGGTTCCTAAGAAGTGTACAAGCAATCAACAATCATGACATGAATCAAGATGAGACATTGGGAAAGAGCTTCTCACCTGCTGCCATGGCCCTTCAGGCAAGAAAATCGGAGCTTCCGGAATGTAATTGGAGGCCTCTTTTGAAACTGAAGCAGCAACTGAGATGGTCCTTTTGCACCAACCAGAGAACCGATATCTCTGCAATTCATCACTTCTCTAGCACACATCAATCCATTTTTCTTCAAAAATGCGTGAATAAAGAAGAACCTAAACAAAATAAAACACTAAATCCACCGGAATTCGGGAGGAAGAAGAAACCTTTGAGGTGTTGAGCTCCGAAAATCTGAGAGATACAAAGTGAGGAATACACATCGACATCAAAAAGGGCTTTTGCAAGAGGATTGGCCAAAGCTGAATCTGTTTTTAGAGAAGAAAATGGGTGGAATCTCAGCAAGGAAAAAAAAGCAAGATGCGCCCTCAAAAAGTAAAAAAAAAAAAGGTAAAATACACCCTCACTTCTCCCAAATACCATAATCCACCTTAAAAAGAAAATTATTCCTTCCACATCACATTCAACCATCAAACAGCTTCAAACAAACACAAAATTTTTAAAAAAAATGCTGTAAATAGATCAAAATAAGTAAAAAAGAAGTATAAGAATATCAATCTTATTCGAATTCTCAAATCCTTATTGCAAACCCAACAAAGCATACCAATCAATTGGATTCTTAAATCTTATTGCACAGCCAATCAAAGCATCGGAAATCAACATATGCAGTGGGTGAATTGGGAAATTACCTAGTCACAGGCAGCTTCGTGGGTTGTCGCCGCCGGTATCTGTGTCGGTCGCTGACCCTTCGTTCCTCCCCAACAACGGCGAGAACAATCCGGTGGGAATTTAGCTGATGAAGTACGCCGTACCAATAACTCAATGTTTTTTGGGGTCGTGTCCTTCCCTCCCACAATTTGTACAAAAGATTATTCTTATTCTTTTTCTCTTCTTCTTTTTTTCTTACTCTTCTTCCGATCTCTTCTTTCTATTTGTCGCAGCCCCTCACCCTCTCCTTTTTTTTCCTTCTTTTATATAATTATTATTATTATTAATTTTATTATTATTATTTTTATTATTATTATTATTGTTATTATCAACTTTTTTTGTGAACCATAAGCCGGTGATATAGAGTTATTATTATTGTTATTATTTTTATTTTTATTTATTATTATTATTATTATTATTATTATTATTATTATTATTATTATTATTATTATCTTTTTTGTGAATCATAAAGCCGATCCTAGTGTGCTACAACAAAATTTTCTTCTCAATTGACTTTCTTGGTTAATGTTCGTAAACTTTGACCTTGATTTGCGAAAAAATCACTTCGTTATGATATTTATAAACACATTAATAATAACAACAACAACAAAAACAATGATGATGATGATGATGATGATGATAGTAGTAATAATAATAATAATAATAATAATAATAATAATAATATAAAATAAGTAAAAAAGAGAGGGGTAGGGGGCGCATCAAATCAAAATAAGGGATCAGAAGAGAAAGAAAAAAAGAAGAAAAGAAGAAGAAGAAGAAGAAGAAGAAAAGAAAAAGATGAGGAAGAAGAAGAGAAAGAAGAAGAAGGTCGAAGAAGACGAAAAAAAGGAAGATGAAGATGAAGAAGATGACGGAGTAACGGTAGATTGACGGAATGTCATTTCGGAGTAAGTTTTCGAGAATTTTAAGGTACCTCGGAGTATAGTTTCAAAAAATGATGGAACTTAGAAGTTATTAACACAAAACTGAGGGTACTTGGTAGCAATTTTTTGCAATTTGTAGCAGATCATGTGTTCAAAATTACCTCACCCTATGTCAACTCATTGTCAGCCCCACAATTGATTACACAGTGCATTATTGCATATTCACATTGATTATTCAATGAATAAAATATCCATGTCTTGTAGAACTTTTGATTCTAATGTAGTTTTAAAATATGAAAATTTTATTTTTATATGAATATGATAAACTGAAACCCATTAGATATATAAACTTTTAGGTGTGTGTGTATATATATATATACACACACATACACACACACACACAAATATTTTTTTTACATATAAAGAGATGGCAGTGTGTTCAAATAACTTTCAGGTGGTGAAGGCTCTTCAACAGGAGGGTAGTTTTATTTCTTTTCATTTTGTTTGTAGGCAGTTTAATAAGGTGGCTCATACCCTTGCTCAGAGTGCAAAAAAAACCATTGTGGTGTTTGGGAGGCTGTCCCTCCTGACTTTATTGTTCATTTTCTCATAAGAGGTAATGCAAATTGCTTTTTTCTATTAAAAAAAAGAAAGAACCATAATTCTCAAATCTAACAAACTAATTACAAAGAGAAATAACACGTTTGAAATACCATTAAACTTTAAAATCCAGACTTGAGGTGTGAGTTTTTTTTTTTTTTTTTTTTTTGAGAAAAATTGTGACACGAGAGAATGGAGAGAAGTTATGACCTAATAAAGAATATAACATGATATTGGGGGGTTTATGTGGCCTTTAGTCAACATGGCATTGAAGGTTGGGTGATGACAAGAGGACTCTTCTTCATTCTCCCCGTGAATCATCACTCCATATTTTGGCATTCGCATCCCCTCTTTCTAACTTTAGCCTATCGCCTCTGTTGACAAAATCCAAATACCCCTGATACAAACAATACCAAAGAAATTATTATTATTATTATTATTATTATTATTATTATTATTATTATTATTATTATTATTATTATTATTATTACTGCTGGAGTGATAAATGTATTATTTTTATTTTTATATTTACATTTTGCTATTGGAGCTGTTTTTTGTTATACAATGAATGAGAAATTAGTTCCTACTTGGAGCCCAACAGAGTTAGGAAAGGGCAGAAGGGAATTGTGGTAACCTGAAGTATTTCAACAGCAGCAAATTTGTCCAGTATGGTCTTCGACTGAACAGGGTGCATATTCAAGGGCTTCAATAACATCTCTACACTCTGTGAGACCATATAGAAACTCAAAATCAGTTCAATTGACAAAGTGAGATGCACATATAATTTGTACGACAGCATCAAGGCATTCTGAGACCAGACCAAAGTTGTGGTGTCCAATTCAACGAGGCATCAATTTTTCACAAGCGACACGGAGTGGCAAGCATTTAAACCACCATGCAAATGATATGTAAATATGATTGTCTCTTATTTTTGGAGAGAGAGAGAGAGAGACCAAAATTGCATTGGGGGCAATGAGGGTTCTTTTTGTCTTTTGATAAATATGATCCTCTCTTAATTTTCAAACAAGACTTCGTTCTCTCTTCTTTCTTACCAAATTCTCTTATACCAAAAGGTTCTACCTTTCTCATTTCTTTTCTCTCACATTTCTCTCTTATCGGTCTTTCCCAAATCAAATGGACCATTAGTTCAACTACTATGTTAAATCATCACAAGTACCAAGCACGCTAGTCATATTTAGCAATCTCTAATTTAAATAAATAAATGACTACTATCTAGAACCAAGAGCTTCATAACAAGCATCACTCATTTTTTTTTGAGACATACGGGGTAGAAGATTTAAAACAAATGGGCGAAGTGGCAGATTCATACTGTTTGTTTTGGATGAGATTGAGGCCAGAGTTTTTACTTTATCCACCAGTAAGCCATTTACGACAATTCAGAAACAAAAATCTCTCCGATGTACTAATAAAACATACCTTTGATGTGAAGCTTTCATCCCAAAAAGTATATTTTACACCGTCAAGTTTTCCAGTTTCAGAAAGGTCATCAATTAAAAGTTTAACTTGCACAGCCTAGCAAAGAGAACATGGATCAAATTTAACAAAAAGATAACACACACACACACACAGAAGCAAAACAAACACAAATAAAACCTACATCTCGGTTATTTTTTTGGTGATCAAAAGGGTAGCCAAAAATGAATCCCTCCAAAGAAAGCTTAGATATCTGCACATGATCAAGGGAAGATGATTTAATGACAAAAACTATGTCACAAAGAAGGAATGTAATAGAATACTACGGAGAATAATAAAGTGATTATCACAAATAAAATCATCAAAAATGGCTCCTTTAAGAGTGACACATAGTGGACTCCTATGAACTCATAATATTCATGGGCATTAATATTGGTCCATGAGGCGCATAGGTGTTCATGTTAGTATGCCAACATAAAAAGAAGTTAGGTGCAAATGTAATCTAAATGGTAACATGTAAATATATAACTATTTATGTTAGGTGCAAATGTAATCTAAATATGAGATGACATATAAAAACTCTCAACCAACTAGACGCAGATTCAGATCTGACCCAACCAAGGTCTGAACGGGTACAGATCTAGTAACACACACAATAGAACAAGCTTCCGACCCATTGACAGACCTACCTGAGTGTGTTTGTATCTTGGAAAATGGTATGGAAAGGGGAAAACTATAATAACTGGTTTCCTTATGTTTGGTTTACCTTGGAATATGAATAAGAAACTGCAATATGTTTCAATGTTTTTTTAAAGTATATATAAATTTCTTTGTCTTTGTACAATAGAAAGTAACATGTACAATAGGAGTAATTTATATATGTACAATAGAAAGTAACATGTACAATAGACAAAGAAATATATAAATACAATGTTTGTACGATAGGAGTAACATGTTTTAATTGTGAGCAACTTGTGACACAGTCAGAGAGCACGTAACTAGCAGTAAACTAAGATATTCCTAGATACACAATTATATACTCCTATGCAGTACTCATCCATATAGGTAACAGCCATTTGTATACCTCAAAACAATAAATTTTTCTCTCAACCGTCCACAAATAATCAATTTCACCCTTAACCGCCTAGAAAACAAGAATTAGCAACCTAGAACTTAGAAATATCCATTGCGACTATGTGAGTACATACTAAGCATGCCTTAGACAAACAGTTTCACTTTTTTTGAGTGCAAAATCGAAGTATCAAATGCCAAAATGTAGCACTCGTATTAGACAAGGAAATGCTTACAAGAGACTGGAAATCCGTGGCCATCAAGTCAATATTCGACTTTTTGCGAACAAGCACACTGCAAACATCAAATTATTAACAACAAATAAATAAATGCTGAAAAGAGGGGCATGAGGAGCCAATGGTTAAAACAAGAAGCTGCATTACCTCAAAGGCGACGCTAGTGTATTGTCCAGATCAGAAACAGCCAGACCGACATACTTATCTCCCACATCCAAACCAAGCAAACGCCCCCGCGACTTCACCAGTTCTTGAAACAAGGTTAGTGGCTTCCTGTAGTTCATCTAAATGCCTCTGCGTTAAACTAAGGGTTCAAAATAAATGTATCTGTTCAGACGTGTGTTGGAAACACACAATTTCCTGCCCCAAAACCTTGAGGCGATGGGTAGGTAGGTTACATACACTTAATACGGAGATAATGAGGGAAACTAGTTCATTTTTAATACGGAGTAATCTCCCTATTTACAACAGCAGCAGAAAAAACTCCCGCCTAATCATTATTGTAGAAACTGCAGCCAGTTTCGATGCGGTTAAGGGAGACGCCACGAATCCCACGACCTATCATTCTCACCACACATTTCTCTCTGTCAAATCCATCCCACCATCTTAATCGATCTACGACCGCATTTTCTTCCTCATCACGCGGGATCCTTAAGTTTGATTAAGGATGATAATGATAACTCACAAAATCCTGTTGATTCTCATCTTAGTAATGCCTCTAAAGTCATTCAAAATTTCTTATAAATAGATCAAAATAAGTAAAAAAGAAGTATAAGAATATCAATCTTATTCGAATTTTCAAATCGAAACCCAACAAAGCATACCAATCAATTGGATTTTTAAATCTTATTGCACAGCCAATCACACCAAAAAGCTTCGGAAATCAACATATGCAGTGGGTGAATTGGAAAATTACCTAGTCACAGGCAGCTTCGTGGGTTGTCGCAGGTATCTGTGTTGGTCGCTGACCCTTCGTTCCTCCCCAACAATGGCGAGAACAATCCGGTGGGAATCTAGCTGATGAGGTACCCCGTACCAGAAGACTGCAAGTGGATATGAGGCCTCTAAGCAGGGTAGAAATGTCCAAATAAATTACTCTAGGTACTCTCGATTCTTGATTTTGTGATATCTCTCATTATTTTTCTAAATATACTCCGAATAATTTAAATTATCCGAAAAATTACGGGGAATGACAATCACTCAATGTCTCCGTTAGTTTCTCTATCCGTTATCTTTTTCTTCTTCTTTCATGTTTCTTTCTTTCTTTCTTTTTTCTCTCTTTCCAATTCACATTAGAGACCAGCCCCCCCCCCCACCAAAAAATTACTGTCGGATACCCTCAATTTTGTGATAAGAATTGACATGTTCCATTACTTTTCTAGGGGATGACAATTCATTCATGCCTATCCATTATCTTTTTTCTTTTTCTTTCTTTCTTTCTCTCTTTCTTTTATTCTCTCTTTCCAATTCCCATTAGAGACCAACCTCCCATCCACCCTGGCCACCCAAATCTCCTCCTTTTTTTCTTCCTTCCTCTATTTTTTCGTTTCTTCTTCTTTTAGTATTGTTGTTGTTGTTATGATTATTACTATTTGTGATTATTATTTTGCTATTAGTTGTTGTATTATTTTATATATTTTATAATAATTATGATTATTTATTTTTATCATTTTACTTAGTTATTACTTTTACTACTATAACTTTTTTAGCAAAACAAACTTAAAACCCTATTAAAAACAATTGTATGCCCACATTGACACACACACAAACACACACGTAAAATATAGGAAAATATTTTTTTTGTCATTTGACTTTTTTTCAAAGTTTGTGAATTGTTGACCACGGTTTACAAAAAAAATATTGTGTTATTGTATAAATTTAAAAGTAGTAAATTCTCTTTTAAACATAGTTTTGAAATAATATTTTTTTAAAAATATATAATTATGTATAAAAATAGATATTAATAGTCAAACTGTAACATTGAAGCTCGTGAAAATTTAAGTAAGAAGAAAAATTACCTAATGCAGGGAACACCTTTTTTCGTTGCTCGGTGGTTGCTAGCTACCGATGTTGCTTCGCCATTTGCCCTTGTCTTCCGTAGTTGTCACCGGGAGGTCACTTATCACCACTATTACATGTTGAGTCATGTAGGTTGTTGCAGGAAGCACTTAAATAATAATTATTATTGTTCTAATTATTATTGGCATAATAGTAATAATAATAACAATAATGATGATAGTGATAATGACGATGATGAAAATTAATAATAATAATAATAATAGAAGGAAAATATAAAAAATCCCTCTGGGGAAAGTTTTTGGATATTATAAAGTACCTAAAGTATATTTTTAAAATGATGGAACCTAAAAGTTCTTACAACAAAATTGAGGGTACATAACAACATTTTTTGGAAAGAAGAAGAAGAATAGATTAGAGAGCAAGTGGGTATGACGGAGGGATGAAAGAAAAGTCTTCCCATTATTAGTTTTTGAATATTTTAAGGTACCCCGTAGCATATTTTAAAAAATGGTAGAACCTAGAATTAGGGGTATTTGACAACATTTTTTTGATCTTAGAGGCCCAAAAATATATGAAGAATAGCAAAGCAGTGGTCCAAACAACATCCCAATTGAAGTTTAGAAAGGTTTAGAGGAAAATGCATTTGGTGGCTGACTAAGTTTTTTAACGAGGCTCTAAGATCTAGGAATTGAAGATGTTTAACGAATAGATGAAAAACATTTTGATTAATGTTTCCAAGAATACAAATAATACTTAGAGTTGTGAAAACTACAGAGGAATCAAGCTCATGAGTCATGCAACAAAGTTGTGGGAAAGAGTGATTCAACGGAGATTGATGAGACAATAGACGTTGATGTCAAAGAACTAACTTGACTTTATGCCAATAAGAATACCTCCAGGGGACATATACTTGGTGAGCGAATGATGCAAAAGTACTGATGGGTTGATACCCAACGGGCGGCCCAAACGCCGCACCCGGAAGGAAATTCAGAACGGGAATGAATCAATTCTGGGCCGGCCCAATATTTGGGCCTGGGTCAACCTGGTAAGAAGACAGTTGGAAGAGTCCGACCCTAGGAAGGAAATTCAGCATAAGGCGGGGACATAGCCGAAGAAAGTGGATCGCGCTAATGGCGGACGGGTCTCCACTAATTGTGAACTGCCTTAATTACTTGAAAATCATGTATAAATAGAGAGGATCCAAATGGGAATCCTCAAGCTGAATCAAGCTAATAAAGCTTATAATTCTTGAGTTCTTGCTCATTATTCTTTCTATCGATCCGCTTTTCCGAATCAGATCATTTGGTGGATTTATTGTCCATCAAGTTCTCAATTGAGAAGAGAGATTTACACATGCCTTTTGTTGATTTGGAGAAGGCATACGACAGAGTACCAAGAGAAGTATTGTGGAAAATTTTAGAAAAAAGTGAGTATAGTAAGAATTACGTATATTCGTGTGATTAAGGACTTGTACGATGGTGCTACAACGAGCGTTGAAACTCAAAGTGTGGTAATATATAGGGGAATTTCCCATAAGCGTATAATCACACCGAAGTTCATCGCTAAGACGCTAAGTCCATATCTTTTTATCCTAGTATTGGATGTTCTTACCAATATCCAAGAACGCATACGATGGTGCATGTTTTTTTCTGATAACATCATCCTTACGAACAAATCACGAGAGGATTTGAATGGAAAGTTGGATATGTGGAGATAAAATTTGGATCATCACTTGCGTATAAGTCGCACCAAAACAGACAGGGCCGGTCATGAAAATTCATAGGCCTGGGCCAAAACTAGAAAAATTCTAAAAATCTTATCCTTATGGTCTAACAAATTAACACATGTAAACAAATTATATTTAAATAATAATTAATGCAATATTATTAGAAGAAAAAATAAATTAATATATCCTAAATTCATATCAATTCATCAATTTTTCTAATTTTCTTTTTCAGCTTTATTTTTTTATATATCATAAATTCATATCAATTTGTCAATTTTTCAGTTTTTAATTTTTTTAGTTTTCAGTCTTTTATACATAAAATTATAAATATATCATAAATTCAAATCAATTCATCACAATCAGATAAAGAACATATAGAACCATTAATTCATTCTATTTCCTAGCAATTAGCAAAGATTTCAAATTAAAATATAATAATTAACCCTAGATTTTAAATCTAAAAAATGAAAAAATGAAAGAAAAAAATTATAAAATCGGAAAGCTATATATACTGAATACCTGGAGGCTGGTGGCTCGGCGTCCGGCGGTGTCTGGACTCTGGCGGCGGCGGCGTCTCTACTGGCAGTTTACCGATTTGGCGACTTGTTCAGTCGACCTGGGTTTCTCGCGACATGCGTTATTATTTCTTTTCTTTGTGTAGGATGGGAACTTTAGAGACGGGCCTGACATATTGGGCTATGGGTTTCTTATACACATATATTATTAAAGAAATTGGGCCTCAAAAATTCATGGGCCCGATCCGGATGGGCTGTTTGCCCCTATTGGGCCGGCTCTGAAAACAGAGTATAGGTCTAGGTGAAAACAACATCGTCTTATGTAGTACGTAGTAAGTTTTCTTCTTGTAAATTTAAATCTCTTATCATATAGGGCTAGGTGAAAGGACCATGCTACACTTACACCAACAAATATACCTCATTTGTACACCACAGGTTTGCACAAACATTTCGATGGTTTACACCGACATAAGTGTTGGTGCGTTGATAAAAATTCGCACGGACACAAATGTTGGTGCGTTTAACAAAAATTAGTTTTACACCAACACAAAATATTGGTGCAAAACTGCGGGGTACAAATTGGGATACAAATTTTGGGGTACACATAGCATAATCCTAGGTGAAAGGACCATGCTACACTTACACCAACAAATATACCCCATTTATACACCACAGGTTTGCACAAATATTTCGATGGTTTACACCGACACAAGTGTTGGTGCGTTAATAAAAATTCGCACGGACACAAATGTTGGTGCGTTTAACAAAAATTAGTTTTACACCAACACAAAGTGTTGGTTTACACCAACACAAAGTGTTGGTGCAAAACTGCGGGGTACAAATTGGGGTACAAACTTTGGGGTACACATAGCATAATCCATATACATAGGACCATGCTACACTTACACCAAAAAATATACCCCATTTGTACACTACAGGTTTGCACAAACATTTCGATGGTTTACACCGACACAAGTGTTGGTGCGTTAATAAAAATTCACACGGACACAAATGTTGGTGCGTTTAACAAAAATTAGTTTTACACCAACACAAAGTGTTGGTGCAAAACTGCGAGGTACAAATTGGGGTACAAACTTTGGGGAATTTCCGTACAAGAATTTATTTTTTATTTTTTATTTTATAAAAATTACCCTAAATAAGATTACAACATAGAAAAAGTATCAAAATACAATTGTCAGCTCAATAGCTCTAAACTCCCCTGTGGTTTGAAAAATAAGCACCGAAACCCCCCCTGTTTTCAATACTTACTCCTAGAATCCCTATGGTTTCTAAAAGCAGCGTCTATACCCCCTCCACCGGATTTTTTGTGGCGCGTGAATCATGCGCTCCGTTGATGGCTGGAAATTTGATAAAGGGGGGCATTGGTGCTCCATTTTCAAACCATAGGGGGCTACCATGCGATTAGTTTATTTTATTATGACAAAAATGTCCTTCATCCAATTAACTTTATTTTTTTCAATGTTCTTTACAATGTAAATGATTTTTTTAGAACATTAAAAGTGTCATTTTTTTTATTTTTAAGACGGTGACATTTTCTCTTGTCTATAATACTTTTTATCTTATTCAGTTTTTCATTTCTTTTTGTATTAATTTTTTTTATTGTATTTCATTTCCTATTCTTTATTTACATGTCCCGATTTTTTATTTTATTTTGAAAACGATTAAGAAATGAATTTGAGACCGATATAGTTTATGTTACTTTTTTATACTCCGTATCATTTATTTATGAAAAGATTATTAAAAATTAAAAAGAAATTTTTGAAAAATCCTTATGAAAACAAGGAAATAATGAAATGAAAATAGAAAAAAATGCAAAAAAAACTACGTTAAAAATGATAGTAGTTTTTTTCATTTTTTTTCTATTTTCATTTCATCATTTTATTTACTTTTAACGTAGTTTTTTTCATTTTTTTCTATTTTCATTTCATTATTTCCTTTTTTCATAAAGATTTTTCAAAAATTTCTTTTCAATTTTTAATAATGTTTTCATAAATAAATGATATAAAAAAAGTAACATAAACTATATCGATCTCAAATTCATTTCTTATGCTTTTTCAAAATAAAATAAAAAATTGGGACATGTAAATAAAGAATAGGAAATAAAATACAATAAAAGAAAAAATTAATACAAAAAGAAATGAAAAACTGAATAAGATAAAAAGTATTATAGACAAGAGAAAATGTCAACGTTTTAAAAATAAAACAAATGACACTTTTTTACCTTGTAAGGAACATTGAAAAAAATAAAGTTCATTGGATGAAGGACATTTTTGTTATAATAAAATAAACTAATCGCATGGTAGTCCCCTATGGTTTGAAAATGGAGCACCAATGCCCCCCTTTAATCAAATTTCCAGTCCATCAACGGAGCGTATGATTCACGCGCATCAAAAAATCCGGTGGAGGGGGTATAGACGCTGCTTTTAGAAACCATAGGGATTTTAGGGGTAAGTATTGAAAACAGGGGGGTTTCGGTGACTATTTTTCAAACCACAGGGGGGTTTAGAGCTATTAGGCCTACAATTGTCATGTTTTTATTTTCAAAATAGAAATTTACACCGTGGTAATGTAGCATTGTACACGTGCACATTACTATATTTTTTTGGTAATGTTAATGACCATGCAGGGCCGGTCTATTAGGGGGACATGCAGTCCGACCGGGCCAGGCCCAACGCCCAGCCCAGCCAAAGCCCAAAAGTCCTTAGCCCTCAAGCGGAAGTAGCCAAACGCCCAAACCCACGAAGGCACGGACGGAAATTGAGAAAGACGCCAGAAGGAAGTCGCCGAGAGAGAGTTGCCGCCGACCGCCAGACGCCGCCGCCTGCCTGCACGCTCCACTGCTTCAGAGTCTAGCCGCTTCCCGCCAGACGCCGCCTCGCCGGAAACTCTCCAGCCTCCAGGTCCAGGAGTCCAGGTACGGAGGTAAAAAAAAATACCAATTTCAGTATTTCTTTAAGAATTTTACAATTTGTTTTGTGAAAATCTGAAAATATTTAATCTTTATAAATTTGTGTTATGAATTTGTTATGAATTTTTGTTGCGAATTTGACAATTTATTATATGAATTTGTCATGTGAAAAATTGAAAATATTTATTTGAAATTTTTGCTAATTGTTATGAATTTGTTGTGAAAACCTGGCCAATCTATTAATTTAATAATCTGAAGATCTGTTTTTTTGGAAATTTAAAGTTTGTATTTGTGTATTTGATTTCACTAAGATGTGAGTATGTGATCAATCAATTTGCTCTAAAAAATGCAAGGAGAACTTTCCGAATTCTCGGCTAGCTTTTAGAGTATATAATTATACTACTATGATTTTGTCATTTACTTATTTTTTTTATACTATTGGGTTAATTATCATTTAAATATAATTAGTTTACATATTTTAGTTGTTTAGACCAATAGGGAATTAGGGACAAGACATCTACGGCCTTTTTTCTTGTCTTGGCTTAGGCCATTGAAGTCTCAGGACCGGCCCCCCCGTGATCACGTTTGGTAATGTAAATGCATTTTAACTCCTATTTCGGGAATAAAAAAACATGAAAGTCTTATTTTGATATATTTTCAATGTTTTATTTCTACTTTAGTAATGTTCTCTTTCTTTTAAATGTTCGTTTATTAGTTTTATGTTATTTTATATTACATTTATAATAAAAAAATTTCAAGAGTGCTCTCTCCACTCTCTAGACCTCGTAGTGTATTTTGTGCACTCCCATTAAGTAGAAAGATAAAATGATTAAAATAGGAGTAAAACATTCAAAATATACCAAAATAGGAGTTCTATATTTTTAGAGTAAATTCCATAATTGGTCCTTTATAACAGGGGGTTTCCATATTTAGTCCTCTATTATCAAATATTACCCCCGTAGTCCTTTTTTTAAGGGTACCTTTCCACAAATGGTCCTTTTTTTGATCTTCTACCGTGTTGGTGTTAATTTAAAGGCTAAAAGTATAATTTGACGTCAACATTATGTCTAGTGACGTGTTCTGATATTGGTTAAGCGGATAACACAAAAATAATGACTATGATTGTGGGCTAGGATTCTGACGAAAGATCACATTTGTAGACTATAGTTGTCGTAAAAAGCAACTGTAATTCACAAACGACGCAAACAGAACAGCCTTTGGAATTGTGTATGACAAAAAAGATATATTATCATTGTGAAATTACACTTTTAGCCCTCAAATTAACACCAACATGATAGAAGATCAAAAAAAGGACTATTTGTGGAAAGATACCTATAAAAGAAGGACCACTTGGGTAATATTTGATAATAGAGGACTAAATAGGGAAACCCCCCTGTTATAAAGGACCAATTATAGAATTTACTCATATTTTTATTCTTGAAACATGAGTTAAAATGCATTTACAGTGTCAATCATGACCGTGTACATTACTAAAAAGTATTGCGAAATGTCCATATACATTGTCATATTACGAAACTGAGAACTCTTATTTTGGGGATAAAAAGACAGAGCCTCTATTTTAATACTTTCTCTATGTTTTACTCTTATTTAAGATGATTTTTTAAGCAGAAATTGGTTCCACCACTGCCATGCTCACCCATACTACAAAATAAATAGTGACTTATCTATTTTATTACATTTAATACTTATTCTTATTGGAATTAGACAAGAAACAACTTTAAATAATATAAATATAACGTTCCCCTAAACCCTAAACCCTAAACCCTTTTGCTTGGATTCGTTTGCAGTGTGCTAGGGCCGCTAGACAATCTATGCAGCTTCTAATTAGTTGAAAAGCTTCATTCGCAGCCAATCTCCTTCGATTCTTCTGCGCTCGCAGTTTGTTTGTTTTTGCAGAAAGAGGAATTAGAAGAAGATGAATAATCTGAAGCAATGGAAGAGCCTCTCTTCAAAAGTCCGCCTACAATCGGAGGATGAAGTTCTCCGATTAGCTGCTTTCGACATGGAGCGTAATCGCTTATTCTGCGCATCCTCAACAAATATATTGTACACTACTCAACTGCCTCTGCAGGTAATTCTGCAGATTCCTTCATCAAATTGCCGTTTTCTTTTAAATGCAATGTGTTCGTATTAATGTATTATTGTCGTTTATAATAGTGGAATGTGTGTGTCATGTTTTCTTTGTATCCTTTGACGAGTTTGGAATATATTTAATGCAATTTGATATGGCATTTTCTTATATGATAATAGTCATAATTTTCTAGTGTCGGGCTCAAATTATCAACCTAGGCTTGTGGCCAAGACGATGATTCCTAAATGAACTGCTTTAAAATTGGCACGTCACTCTTTGTTGACAATCATAGCCAGTCACTCTATACTAGCACATCCCTTTCTTTAGTCTTGTTTTAGTATAGTGTGTGTGATATTGAAAAAAAAATCTTTTTGCTTATTTTCCATATAAACTTCCCCTTGCTTCTGTGCTTTTATGAGAATTAGTGTAGTAAATGCAGCAACGCATCAAGGATCTAACGGAAACAACCTCTGATTTTACAAGACTGTGTGCATCTGGACTCCTAAACCTGATGAAGTTGGTTTCTAATGTGTTGTTGTCTGTGAAGCTGGTAGAGGAAGCCACAGTTCCTTGCTGTTAAAGAAAATGAGAGAAGTCCTTACATTAATAGAGGTTGGGTGCCCCTAGTATTGCAAGGGTGTAGCGCTGTTGGCCCTAAGACTAATAGTAAACATCCGTAAATTGGTAAAGAGTGGGTCAAGCTCTCAAAGAATCTTTATTTAAAAACAATCATAGTTGGGTCCCTATTCATTCGCTGACGGAAGCATAAATAGTGCATTATCTTAGCAATTTAGACCTTACTGTCCAATATCTCTCCCAGCCCAACAGGGAAGCGAGACAAGAAGAAACGGATGCAAGGTCATAACGTCTACAAGTATTTAAGAAAGTTTAGAAGTCGACGGATCTGAAACAAATACTGACAAACCAACATCTGAACTATGCTTATCATAACCCTTAGTTCATTTTTTACTCTAGCTTGACTCTTTATTACAAGCTGACTACCGATGAGTTATTTGAGTTAATAAAATATACGGAGGGAAATCGAGTTTGCTTTGATAGAATGACCGGTGGCATCGTTCTAAGCACAAAGCTCAAACCTTGGAGCAGAGGAAAATAGGTTCCGGATCAGCATGTACTCCATAATAAAGTTACTTTTACAAATTAGCTTTACTTTGATTTATCTTGTAACTTAGGCTAATGATCTGCTTTCTGTAAATTCTTCTTTGCATTGTATGTGCAGTAGTGTTCTAAAAGGTAGGCTAGCCCGCTGCCCATGAGCTAAGCGGTGCCTAACTGTCCTGATTTTAGCCTAGGCGGCTCAAAAGTCGGCCTGGGTGCCCAGAACTAGACGGTATAGGCGGCTCCTTTTACAATTTTGACTTTTATCTAATTTAGCTAGAATGATGTTTCTTCATTTAAACATTTTCTCTATATTAGACAATAATAATAAGTCAATAATAGACATATAACATAAATTGTGTTAATTTTGTATTTTATGAATGTTTATTTGTATATATTAATTTGATGCTCAATCATTTCTGATATGATCACATAGACACCCATTAATTGAAATATCATATACACTATACAATACTTCGTAAAAGATATTGTTATGCAAGAAAATACATTAAATTTATGTTTAATACATATTTATACTATACACACACACACACACACATACTTGGCCTAGTTTCAGGCACCGCCTCGGTGCCGGCCTAGATATCATCTATGCACTAGGTGGTTCCCCACCTCCGGGGTAGCTCATAGTGCTTTCTATAACACCGGTGCACAGTTATAGAGCTTTAGATTATCTAACTTGCAGGATGCCAAATTGTCTAAAAGAAAAAAGCATTTCCCCTCTTACAAGTTTTAATGGCAGGATACAGGAGTTTTCAATTCAACTTCCTACCACCATCTTGATATAGAACCTGGAGACTCCATAACTTGCATGGAATATCTTATGGAGAAAGAATCACTTATTGCTGGAACATCCCATGGGCTTATATTCTTACACAATGTAGATGATAATTTGACTGAAATTGTTGGTCGAGTGGAAGGTGGTGTTAAGTGTGTCTCTCCTAGTCCTGATGGAGATCTGCTTGGCATAATTACTGGTTTTGGTCAATTGCTGGTCATGACACAAGATTGGGAGGTACTATATGAGATGGGGATTGATAATCTACATGATGATACTGACATACGTAAGAATTTCTCTTTATGCTTCTATTTTTAAAACCAACTCCATCTACTCTGTTCCAGAGTCATTTGGCAGCTCCATTTCATTGGGATCATATGTGAATTGCTTGTAAACAATTCATTTGTTTTTCTGAGCTCAGCTAAGCTCTAATTCCAATGCGGCTTTCTGTGTCTAGTTCTGCAGGGCTCTACAATCATTTCTTATGCATATACAAACCATGTCATGCTTACTATCTTAACTTTTACGATCAAATCAATACATTTTTGTTTTCTTAAACATTTTGTGGCTAATTGAGAATGCCTAAATATATAAAAGAATTAGGAAGTTTGTTTGTTTATTATTTAAATTGATTCCCTGCCCCACAATGATAGTTTACTTTTCCATTTTTATTTTTTGAACACAAGTAGTATTACTAAGATTTTTGCTCCTGATTAATGCATCTCGCTGTTGCCCACCTGCTGAATTAATATGGAATATAATTAATTGCCACATTAGGGTAAATATGAATTATTGAAGTAAAATGCAATGCTTTAATTATATTAAATATCATTTCTCAATCCCTTTCTTAATTCATTTGAAGATAACTATATTACTTTCTTTGTGGGTGTATCCATGGATGGAGTAATATAGAAAGGTCACGTGTAAATGCTAAAATGGTTCAGCAGAAACTCTTTTTGTTTGACATTAAGGGTGATGAAGCGAGTACTGCTTTTATCTTACATCCTTTCACCAGCACTAATTTGTTAAACACATACTCATTCTTCCTATCAGAAGATTGTTAATTAATCTCTGAACATTACTTTCAGATGAACAAAATATTTCTTTGAATGACTCTTTTGAAAGCATCATTTCATGGCGAGGTGATGGTAAATACTTTGCCACTCTGAGCAGGGTAAATGATTCATCTTGCTTGCATAAGAAGCTTACAGTTTGGGAACGAGAATCAGGGAAACAACATTCTGTTTCTGAATCAAATGATTTCATGGGAGCAGCTTTTGACTGGATGCCCAGTGGAGCCAAAATTGCTGCAGTATGTTACAGAAAGAAGTATCCTTCTATTGTTTTCTTTGAGAGGAATTGCTTGGAAAGGAACTCATTTAGCCTAAATGAAGAAATAGATGTGACTGTAGAAAATCTCAAATGGAATTTGAGTTCAGATCTTTTAGCTGCAATAGTACGTAGTGAAAAGTATGATTCCCTCAAGGTATGGTGCTTCAGCAACAATCATTGGTACTTGAAGCAAGAAATCAGATATGCAAAGGAGGACGATGTTAAGTTCATGTGGGATCCAACTATACCACTGCAGTTGATTTGTTGGACTGTTGGGGGACAGATCTCAACCTACAGTTTTAACTGGGTTACTGCCGTCATGGAAAATTCAGTGGCCCTTATAGTTGATGGCTGCAAGATTTTAGTTACACCCCTTTCTCTGTCTCTTATTCCTCCCCCTATGTATTTGTTTAGTTTAAAATTTCCCAGTACGGTCCGAAATTTGGCGTTCTCTACTAAGGGGTCTCAAAATCATCTGGCTGCATCTTTGTCAGATGGCAGCCTCTGTATCCTAGAGCTTTCAGAACTTGGTACATGGGAGGATCTAGAGGACAAAGAATTTGATGTAGAGCGAGCATCTGCTGATACATTATCTTCTTCTCATGCACATATGGCATGGTTAGATTCACATAGACTCCTATGTGTTTCCCATTTATATAAAGATGGGCTTACTGCATATCACCTACAGGAAATGGAATTTATATGTTCTGAAAATCATATTCCTGGTTCAGTTACATCCTCAGGCTGGCAAGCGATGGTTTCAAATCATATTTCTCTTGAAGGCATTGTCATTGGTGTTGTGTCTGACACATTAAGAAGTTCAGCATATTTGCAGTTCGATGGTGGAAAAGTTGTTGAATATAATTCAAAATCTGCCGGGGCAAGAGGAGTTCTTAAACGTAGTGATTTAAGTTTTCAATCCTCTTGTCCATGTATGAAACTTGCTCATATCGGAGGCCTCTTGTCACATAAAAGCTTGTTCTTTGGTCTTGATAATATTGGTCAATTACATGTTGGTGAGAACATATTATGCAACAACTGCACTAGCTTTTCTTTTTACTCCAGTTCTGCTGACCAAATTGTGACACATTTGGTTCTTGCTACGAAGCAGGATCTACTGTATATAGTTGACATAAATGACACTCATAGAAAAGGAGTAGCAGCTGAATATGAGAACTTCCTGCCCATTACTAGCAACAGAAAAAGAGTGGATCCAAAAATTTATATAAACATTTGGGAAAGAGGTGCCACGATTGCTGGTGTTTTGCATGGAGATGAGTCTGCGATCATTCTACAAACCAATAGAGGTAATGTTGAATGCATCTATCCCAGAAAGTTGGTCCTTACCTCCATCATGAACGCCTTAATCCAGAAGCGTTTTAATGATGCGTTACTAATGGTAAGACGGCATAGGATCGATTTCAATTTTATTGTTGATGCTTGTGGGTGGAAAAGATTTCTTGAGTCAGCTGGTGAGTTTGTCAAGCAAGTGAACAACTTGAGCTATATAACTGAATTCATTTGTTCAATAAAGAATGAAAGTATCATTGATACTATATACAAGAGCTATTTATCTGTCCCTAGCTTAACGGGAGCTCAATCTTTTGAATCGGAAGATGTCATAGATTTTGGTGGTAAAAACAAAGTCTCATCTGTCCTTTTTGCTATCCGAATGGCTCTCGAGGAGCATGTAGCTGAAAGTCCTGCAAGAGAACTTTGCATTTTGACCACTCTAGCTCGAAGTGATCCACCAGCCCTTGAAGATGCTCTAGAGAGGATAAGAGTCCTCCGAGAGCTGGAGCTATCACATTCAGATGATTGCCGGGGAGCTAACTATCCTTCTGCTGAAGAAGCTATGAAACATCTTTTATGGCTGTCTGACTCTGAGGTGGTTTTTGAGTCCGCTTTGGGTCTTTACGATTTGAATCTAGCTGCAATGGTTGCCTTGAATTCTCAGAAGGATCCAAAAGAATTTCTTCCATATCTTCAACAATTAGAAAGCCTGGAAACGGTCTTGATGCAATACACTATTGACCTTAAGCTGCATAGGTATGAGAAAGCCCTTAAGCACATTGTCTTGGCGGGAGATGCTTATTTTGAGGACTGTTTGAACTTGATAAAGGATAAACCTCATCTTTTTCCTTTGGGGCTTCAACTTATCACTGGCTCTTCAAAAAGAGGGCAAGTCCTCGAGGCTTGGGGAGACCATCTTAATGACCAAAAAAACTTTGAAGAAGCTGCTGCAACCTATCTGAGCTGTTATTGTATGGATAAAGCATTAAAAGCTTACCGTGCTTGTGGTAATTGGGGTGGGGTTTTTATGGTAGCTGGTCTTATGAAAATTGGAAATGAAGAAATTTTGCAGTTGGCTCAGGATCTCTACGAGGAACTCTTGGCACTTGGTAAGCCAGGGGATGCTGCAAAGATTGCCTTGGAGTACTGTGGAGATGTCAATGCTGGTGTTACTTCATTTGTTAGTGCAAGGGAATGGGAAGAAGCATTGAGGATTGCTCTTCTGCACAAGAGAGATGATTTGGTCTTGGAAGTGAAGAATTCATCTGTAGATTGTGCCAACTCATTGATTGGTGAATATGGGGATGGTCTGGAGAAAGTGGGGAAGTACTTGACCCGGTATTTAGCTGTTCGACAAAGAAGATTGCTGCTTGCTGCAAAGCTGAAGTCTGACGGGACGTCTGTGAATGAATGTGATTATGAGACATCTTCTGAAGCAAGCAGTAATTTCAGTGGAATGAGTGCCTATACCTTGGGGTATGTTTTCGTATCTCTGTCGTGCAATTGCAGTTTTTTAGAGTATTTTAGCCATTGTATCCTATTGGAAGGGTAATGATTGTCATAGGACATGGACTCAAGCTCCAGCAACAACCTTACCTGATAAGGCCGTATAGGGGATATATGGTTACACACAATCAGACATCTTCCTTTATCAGACTTTAATGGTCTGTATTTCATTTAAAAAGTTGTTTAGTTTTGTAGTGGTTACTCTGGTTAGGTATAGGGACAAAATATCACTCAACATCTGATTTATCACATCCGCGGAGGAAGAAAGCTTTTCATTTTTGGCCTTGCATTTGTAGGTAGAAGTTTTGAAATTTTCATGAAATTATAAGTTGCTCTTTGGCAGGACAAGAAACGGAGCATCAACTACCAATAGCTCAACTTCTGCGAAAAAGGGAAGAGGGTCGAGGTCTCAAAGAAACCATGGGAAAATACGTGCCGGCAGGTATGTTATTATGTGAACCATACTTGTCATTCAGTCTTGAGAACCATTAACACAAATAATAAAATATAGGAGTAAGTAATTCACAACTCATTTTACCAAATGGTCAAATACATCATTTGAAGGTTATTTGGACCAGCTTGAGCTTCTCGAAAAGCCTATTTCAAACTTTTTCAGCAAGTCTCGATATGGTGTTTCTTAAAAGGGGTTCTTTCCTATTACCCTTAAGGCCCTTCTAAAACAATATAGATTGGCCTATGCTATATCTTTTCTAGCAGACAAGTCCAGTACTCCAATCACATGTGTGGCCTAACAAGCACTAGAAGTTGTGTATCTGAGTTCTCATTTTTACAGGGAACTTTGAACATATACTAGATTACATGGTTAGGGGCTTCTTCCAAGTCTAAGTGACCATCCGAATTTCCAACACATCAACTCCGTGTCTGTCAAAATGAACATTAATGAAGGGACATTATGAGTTCTCATACTACAGATGCATGTGGCTATTTTCATTCCATGCTCAGGACCAGTAGTGGATGAGATTACTCCCTCCGTTCTATTTTTGGGACTTAAGAAAGTGGCATGAAATTAAGAAAAGTAAGAATGTACAGTTGATATTGATGTCAAAAAGTATGATAAAATAAGAATAAATGTGAACCACACAAATTGACCAGATACAATATGTTTCAGAAATAGTGGGATGGACAAAAAATGTGAAAAGGGACAAAAATAGTGAGACGAGGGGAGACTAACATATTTTAAATTATTGATGTCATTGGGGTACTGATAAATAGAGGATTGCATTTTATTTCAGTCACTTATGGTAGGTTCATTTTTATCTTAAAATTTTTTTGTACCAGTCCTGGCGAGGAGTTGGCTTTGGTAGAGCATTTGAAAGGGATGGCTTTGGCCGCGGGGGCCAGACGTGAGCTTCACTCTCTTTTAATCTGCCTAGTGATGCTACACGAAGATGCTGTAGCGAAGAAATTGCAACTCATTGCCAAAAAATTTCAACTGTCTCAAACAGCTGCCGTGCGATTAGCTGAGGACGTGATGCCTTCTGATAGAGTAGATGAGCAAGCGCATACTTTAGAGAAATATGTTCAGAGAGTGAGGGATGAAATGCAGCATTCAGACATCTTTTCTTGGCAGGTGAAAGCATTGGATTAACCAGTGGCAGAGGGAGGGTTGAGTTCTGGGGGACACTACCACATTGAAGTCATATTATGTATCGTCGAAAATGCCCTACAATCACCTCAGGGGTCACGTGCCCTACGCCGTAGCCTTTTCTGTTTTTAGACAGAAACTTTCTTTTGCTAGTACTGGTTTCCCAAATGGTGAAACTGTCAGTTCTTGCCTCTTTGTTTTTCTTGATTTGGATAACAGACAATTTAGGATGGTTCCATGTGACCTATCAATCATCATCATCATCATGCATGGAAGGATAGGGCTGTGTGTCACAGTAGTGTTAGGAGTTGTGGTTAGACAAGTTTTGTGGTTTAAATTATACTATTTGCATGTAAATCTTGTACTGTATATTGCACAAACAAAAGCGTGAGCGCGAGAGATATGAATTCTGATATCGAAACCTTTTTCTGGGGCTAAACAACATTCCCGAGGATAAAAATACTACAGAGCATTTCTCTGTAAAAAAAAGGTATTTTTTCCGTCTCAAAATGATGAACATTTTTATTATTTGAACATTTCGATAACTTTTGTTTACTCGTATACTTTCATTGGCCATTTAATAAAACAAAATATATATAGTAAATTCGTAAAATGATACTCAATAACTATTTATTCTCAAATTTGTCTACAAGACAATTAATTATAGAGATGGTAGAGAGTGAATAGCTGGTAGCGTGGTACAATAGCAGCTTGTACATATACATGATGAACCTTCAAATACATCCCATTTTTATTACTCACTTCGTTCTAAATCATTTACTCTTTATGCAAAATAAAGTAAAATCTCAAATTTTTTTAATTTATTTTATTTAAAGATTGATATATAAATAAAAAATAAAATTTATATATTTAAAAAGTACAGAGTATATCAAATGTTTTTCAAAACAAAATGTGACAAAAATATTTTATTTCATCAAATAGTCAATGAAAAATCAAAAATAAACAAAAGTTTTCTTGATTTTTGAATAATAGAGTGTGTAAATCATTTAAGGACGGAGAGAGTAATAAAAAATCGGGTAGTTATTTGAGTACCACAATAATTGTAAACTTAAGGGCAAACACAGCCATTTTATATCGGACACATACATTATGCCTGTGTTTACCTACAATTGTTGGGATTCCCCTAATATTTTCGTGCAAAATTGAAAATTCCCTAGTCATCCCTCCAAGCAAAAAAAAAATTCCAAAATAGATTACAAAAAAGAAAAAAAAACAAAAAAACTCAAAGGTGTGTTTGCGTGAGTTTAAAGCTGAAAATTGGAGAAAAGAATCTCAAGTGGATTCCAGCGTGTAGTCCATGTACTGTCTATTAGACTACTACTTTTATTTTTCTTCTCATAAATGGAGTTTGGGTTTGATTCAATAATTCTAAAACCAATGAATTATTTACTCAAACTCAGACTCGGGTTCGAGGTGAGTTTGATTTTAAACAATATACAAAACCTTAGCCTTAAAGAAAGATCAATGCTATGGGTACATTGGATTCATTTAACCATACAATTTTTAACACCAATTTATTTTTTTATCGGACAATTGGAATCGAACTCATGAGTTCATACTTATAATTGAAATTTGAAATCATATTCACGTGTCTTCCAATTCTCTCATCCCTTTTTTCACCGGACCATCTTGAAGTGAAAAATAAACCCAGTAAATTTTTTCAAAGTGCAATTCGTGAACCCATGTAAAATTTTTCTGTACTCATAGGCGGGTTAAAATTTACTGACTTTATTATTTACCCCACGATGGTCCTAAAATTTACTTTTCCTATAGCTTTTATGGAATGACCTTCCTCAAGCAACTTTTTTCAAAATTTACTTTTCCTAAAATCAGCTTTTAATCTCTTTTCTTTAACAGTTTGCCTTGGCAATCAGGCAATTACTTAAATGTGAATTCAATTTTTTGCGTTTGATTTTTATTCTAACGGTACTACTTAAATAATTGGTTGTTTAGATCACTTTTTTTGCTGTTCGACTATTTGTTCTTTTTTTTTTGTTTTCTTAAATTTGTAACATTTTAAAAAAAATAGTGGTAAATAGAGAAACGTATCAAGAAATGAAAAAATTGTTACTCAAGTATAAAATGAACTGAGTAATATTGGGCTGGACCAAAAGGCTTTGGCTAGATCTATAATCTATATAAAAATATGGACACTTTAATATAACGAATACATTAATATATAATATACTGTATTATTTTTTAAAATATTAATATAGAGTTGTAAAAACAAGTACATTTTTTAAAATATAGAGTAGTAAAAACAAGTACATTTTTTTAAAACATTAATTAACTTTCTCACAAAAGCATAACAGTCATTCTGGTTGTATTTGAGATACACGGATAATTATTACTCCCCCCTTCTCAAATTCTATTACAATTTTTTTCTTCTCTATAACTTTTGTTTATTTATGTATTTTCATTAAATATTTGATAAAATAGAATATTCTTGTCACCTCCCGTTTTGTAAAACTTTTGTTATAGTTTTTTAATATGTAACTTTTATTTTGTATATATGTACCAATTTGTAAAGAAAATAATTTCGAAAGACGAGAGTTTTTTCCTCGTAACTCCTGATTTGTAATCAAATTAGGGATGATGGATTATTTGAATGAAGGTGACAACTACTTTTTTTGTACAATACTCCATCCCTTCGTAAAAAGACGTCCTCTTTATTATTTGGGATTTTCAATAACTTTTATATGCATATACTTTTTCATTGATTATTTAATAAAGTATACATGTAAAAAACTTGATGTAATTTTTATATATACTTGGTATAACTTATACTCCACTTTTTATCCTAATGCCAATTTTTAAATTAAATTATTTAAAAATTGGTGTTTTAGACTTTTGGTGTTTGGACTTTTGGTGTTAGATTTATCTTGGGCTTTGCGGGTTCATTGCACACTACGCGGCGCCCAGTGGTTGACTCAATTCGCCCACAGGAGAAGCTTGGGTATGTCACCCACACAGTAAAACTACCCACCTTCCGTGAAGACTCTGCTCCGAATAAAAGAAGAACTCCAACGGGCTTTTCGCTCACAGACACAAGTCCGTTTCCTTCTCCGGCTCGCCAAAAGTCTCCGTTGGGTCCAAACTCAGTTCAACGAAAATGGTGGGTTCTCTGATCTCTTCTCTCCCGGGAATCGATTTTCTTTTCCGGGTTCTCTGTTTTTCTCGGTCTCCGATTTGTGATTCTGTGTGCGAGTTTAGTCTTTGATCTGTGATCGCCTGTGGCTCAAGATCTTAAAATCACCGGAAAAAAGATGTTTGTTGTCTCAGTAGCTCATGCAATTTGAGATTTTACTGCTCTTTGTTGATGTGGGTCTAGCTGAAGCAGGGCGATTGTGAGTGACTGTGATGGATCTGAAGTCAAGAAGGTTTTTATAACTTGATCCACTCTGTTCTTCAGTAAAAGGGAGGATCACGTATTTTTGCTACTTTGATCTTTGGATTCGTTGTCAGATTTTGTGTATTCTGTCTCTTTTATGCACTTGATCTTTGCCTCAAGCAATTTCAATTCGCTTGATTTCGGGTTGCTTCCATGTAGGAATTACAACCAGATTGGAGGATCGATATACCAATACCTCGGTCTGTTCTAGTTGCAGTGTTATATAACAGAACTGTGGACCTTTTTGGTTATTTTTACCTATGTTGATTCGAAGGAGGGTGGGAGTGGTAAGGCTGAAGTGGTTTGGGCATGTAAGGAGGAGAAGTGTTGAGGCCCTATCAAGGAGATGGGAGAGGCTTGCAGTAGAGGGCGCGAGAAGGAATAGTGGTAGAGCTAGGAAAGTTGGAAGGGGTGGTTAGACATGACTTGTGATTTCAAGATCTAACCGAGTATATTATATGACATTAGATAGAAATGCATGGAAATTTAGAATTACAGTTGTTGAATCGACTTTTGGGGCTCAATTTGTAGCTTATGTTGGTGTGTTTTTTTAACCTTAGTTGGTAGTTTGTGCTTGTGTGCTTTATGTGATTCCCATGCTTTGGGTTGAGCTGCTAGTATCTGTATGAGTGCTTCTTGAGTTTTTGTGTTGTGTTCTTACTTTGTTTGTGTTTCTGTGTTTGAGCCGGGGGCTCTTGAAAACAGCCTGCCTCTCTACCCTCCTTAGTATGGGATTTGTGGGGTTCTATTGGGTTTGTTATTGCTGCACAAATTCTTCAAAGAAGTATCACATCTCGTCTCGAAGATGTCCCCATTTGGTTACTTCCGGACAAACCGACACCCAAATTCTTTATATAATGTAAAAAAGTTGATGTTTCCTTGTGCCAACTCTGTGTGGCTATGAGTATCCGTCCCCGTCTCTGTGCAACTTAGGGTTTTCTTGAATTTGTTGATTCTAAGATCTAAAGGTTTAGGTATTTTGTCACAATCCGGACATATTGCATCAAATTGCAGCATCTTGTATGCATTTCATTTTATGCTCATTCAAAGGTTCTTTAGGATTCTTAGTCGGTTCATGAATGCATTGAACCCATCATGGAGCTTCGTCAATGTTGTTACTCGTATGAATTTCCCCCTTTGTTTTCTGATTGAGTTGGGATTAGTAGTTTGATGTAACTTTTCTTCTCTCAGGCCAATGCAGCCTCTGGGATAGCTGTGCATGACGAATGCAAGTTGAAGTTCTTGGAATTGAAAGCGAAAAGGACTTATCGTTACATTGTTTTCAAAATTGGGGATCCCACTATTGAAAAAGTTCTCGAGCCTACAAAAAGCAAGATTGAGGTGGAGGAGGTAGTTGTTGAAAAGGTTGGTGAGCCAACCAAAAGCAATGCCGAGGAGAAGGTTGTTGTGGAAAAGGCCACTGAGCCAACCAAAAGAAAGATTGAGAAGAAGGACAAGGTGATTGTCGAAAAGCTTGGGGAGCCAGCAGCCAGCTATGAGGACTTCACTGCCAGCCTCCCTGATGATGAATGCCGATATGCTGTTTATGACTTTGATTTTGTGACAGCAGAGAGTTGCCAGAAAAGCAAGATTTTCTTCATAGCATGGTACTCTTGTTGAATAATTTAGTGACTTTTTAATAAACTTATTACTCCCTCCATCCCAGTTTTTCATTTTCTTGTTTTCATTTGTCCGAAAGTTGTTGTCCACTTTCTATATCCAATAAAGAAGTTATGATGAATTGTGTAAAATACCCTAG